ATAGATATAGATATTTTATTTTTATTTCAGAGAGGAAGGGAAAGGGAGCAAGAGAGATAGTAACATCAGTGATGAGAGAGAATCATTGATTGGCTGCCTCCTTCACACCCCACACTGGGAATCAAGCCCCCAACCCAGATATATGCCGACTGGGAATACAACTGTGACCTTCTGGTACATAGATTGATGCTCAACCACTGAGCCACATTAGTCAGGCCTGATACCCTTTACAAGGGTCCTGCATTTTCATTTTGCTTTTATGTTCCTTTTTAAGAAAGTGTATATACTATGCTTATATTTTTATATATTTTAAAATGAAATCATATTGTGCATATTTTACCTGCCTTTCTTTATCTGAAAAGTTTGTTTTGCATATTAATATGATATATTTTCAGCATCATTTTCAGTGGCAACATAGTATTCTATTATATAGATTTACCATTTTCTTAACTAATTATTTATTATTGGACATATAGATTATCTCTAGCTTTTCAATATACATGTGCCAAGAATTTGGGTTAATAGGTAGACTTGGGTTAAAAATTCCTCTCCCATCCCTTTCCAGCTGTGTCAACTTAAAACAAATTCACCTTTCTGAGTCTCAATTTGCTCATCTGTAAAGAAGGGGAACTAATAGAATCTCATAATTATTTTAAACTATCAAATGAAATACTACATACTAAGCACTTAGTACCTAGTACACAATATTTGCTTAATTTTTAACCAGTTGTAAAATGGGAATACTATAGTATCCCTCTCACACAGTTCTTATGAGAATTAATAAATTGTTATATGTAAAGTACATACAGTTAGCACTCAGTGTTAACAATATGACTGATAATTAACCATAAACTAATTCAGAGCTGACTGACTGATAATGAATTCTCAATTAAAATACCAAAAAACTATAAGACAAATTCTGAATATTTATTCACAAAGCTACAAAAATGCATAAAAGGTTTTTGTGTGTGTGTGTGTGTGTTTTGTGTGTGTGTGTGTATGTGATTTGTGTGTGTGTGTGTGTGTGTTTTGCAAATGTTTCTTTGATCCAAATATCTGAAGCCAAGAGGAACAATGTGGCCAGGCCTCAGTTGACTCTGGTGAGCTTCTGGAACACGCTGGGTGGCTGCACTTTTTATTCAAATCACCAAACTCAGTGGTTGGCAAACCGCGGCTCTCAAGCCACATGAGGCTCTTTGGCCCCTTGAGTGTGGCTCTTCCACAAAATACCACGGCCTGGGTGAGTCTATTTTGAAGAAGGGGCATTAGAAGAAGTTTAAGTTTAAAACATTTGGCTCTCAAAAGAAATTTCAATCTTTGTACTGTTGATATTTGGCTCTGAGTTGAGTTTGCTGACCACTGACCAAGCTCATGCTCAAACATGCTATTAATTCTGGTTTCTAAACCAGAACAATATTCCCTCTTCAGCTGTGTTTCCTAGAATGAAGAAAAATAACATTTTCCTTTTACAGATTCCATATTATTGTGTTTATTGAGCTGCCATATATGTTTTGAACCAAGTTCTTCACCTTTGCAATTCTGCACTAGTAGTAGGCATTTGGGACCCAGGGCAAGCATTGAATGTGGCCTAGTTTAAGTATTAGGCAAATTGGGAGTGGTTTCTCCTTTATTCTTTTTTTTAATCCTCTCCCAAACTTTTCATTGATTTTTATTTATTTATTTTTTATTTTTAGAGAGAGTATAAGGGAGGGAGGTGGGAGAGAGAGAAACATCGATGTGAGGGACACATTGATTGGCGGCCTCCTGCTAAAGCCAGACTCAGGCCAGGAATCAAACCTGCAACCAAAGTATGAGCCTTTGACCGGGAATTAAACCTGAGATCTGAGGTCCGAGGTCCGTGGGCTTGTCTCTAACCACTGAGCAAACTGGCCAGGGCTCTCTCCTACTCTGTTGCATCCTCTTCTCTTTCCCAGGGTCCAGATCCAGCAAGTCCGGACTTGCCTCTGAAGGGCCGTCCCAGGCTGGGCAGTGTGATCTAGGGATTCCCCTACTGAGCCTGAAACCGAAACTCTACAAACTCTCATCTTGATTTCTTTCCATCTGCCTTCCTGGCACACGTCCTCTCTAGCAAACTTCCCATCCACCCAGCATCTCCAAGATGGGGCCCGCGCTTCCCCAGCCCCGTCTTGCTGCTCCGTGGCGGGGGCAGGGTTGTGCCCTCTCTTCTGGAAACCGCCTCGTTTCAGAGGCCCTGTTATTTAGTGGGGGACATCCAAGGCCTCAGGGAGGATTAGAGTTATTAAAACAGAAATGCAAAGACAAAGAAAGAATTATCGTTCAGCTTTTGTGTTTCAAAAACAGATTTTTTTGAAACCCACAGCTGAAACAATAGCTTGGGAAGAAAAAAAAAAAAAAAACACAGGGCTTTCTGAGAGAGAGAAAAAATAATTTTTTTTTAGGTCCAAAAAGTTAGTTTTACGTATCAATAGAAAAATTCCCCCAAAGGAAGTTGAGCAGAAACCATACCTTGTGAAGTAAGTAGTAGGAACCAGCCAGGCGGAGATTAGGAACACACGGCCGGGGAGGAGAGGGAAGCAGCGAGGGAGAGGGCGCTGGGTGGGAGAAGGCCATGCCCTGCTGCCTTGTGAAATCCTGGGGGGGGGCAGCTGAAGAGAATCTGCTGGGAAGTTTTCAGCGCCTGGCTCAGTGGGTTCTTCTTTGTTCGGTGTTCCCAGACTTTTCTGCCAGCCCTGCTTTCTCAGGAACTGTCCCATCCTGCTCCAGGGCCACTGTCACACAGGGCCACCTCTGGCCTGGCCTGGGTTCAAGGGTGGATCTGTGCTGCGTGGGGCAGCAGTGGCTTGTGGGTAATGGCTTGATCCTGGGTGGCGGGACTGCAGTTGCTGGGCTCTGGCCTCTGGTTGGATACAAACCTCTGGACACAGTGGTGACCACGTTGGCCAGATGAGAAAGCTCTTAGGAGGAAAGGGTGGCATCAGCCTGCGCGGAGGATGGAGATGATGGATGTGCTGGCATTTGGGTCCCTGCCTCTAGTTGGCGCTGTTTCTCCCAGGGCTGGGTTTCAGCCTTCAGCCCCCACCCATGGCATCTGTGAACTTTCTACCTAAGTTAGTTCAATCTTACCTCCTGCTACCTGCTGTGACCAAGGATGAGCTCCCAAGTGCTTCTGGTTACCAAGTCCTAAAGGTTCTGCCTCTGAAACACCTGTGGCTTTGTGTCCTCTCTTCCCTTTCCACTGCCCCCTGGCTTCTCTGGGCCATGCGAATACCCCCTAACCAATCTCTGTATCCACAGCCTAAACCACAGTCTGTCTCCTTTTCTGAACTGCTATTGAGAATGCCATGCTCTGCCTCCAGAACCTCCGAGGGAGATGCTCTGTCTTGGGAATAAAGGAGAATTTTCTATGGGCCGTTCACAAACCTCCTCAGCCTGCACCTACCCTCCTCGCACTTCGCACTTGACAGCTGAGAGGAACCCCTCCGTGTGTCATTGCTCCTGCTGCCTGCTTCACAGTCTTCCCAGGTCATTTAAAAAAAAAAAAAAAATCCTGGCTATCCTGCAAAGCCCACACTAAATGACACTATTTCCATGAGACTTCTGGTTTCCCCAAGCAAAATGACATCTCTACCATCAAATGCCTAATTTGTGGTGTTTATTCAACTCTGCTTTGTACTATAATTGTTTGTGTGTGTAATTTATTTCTTCCACTAGCCTAGTGTGCTCTTGGAGGACCAGTTCTTACTTAACTTGATGAACCCTGAAGCCAGGAGCTACTACGGAAAGGGCATTCAGAACACATCTATTGAAGATAACTAAACCAAGAAATAATGTTCTCTGTTAGACTGGGGCAAATAAGTTGAGTGTGTGTGTGTGTGTGTGTGTGTGTGTATGTGTGTGTCTGGAGAAAGAGAAAAAGAGAACAGCAGAAAGAAAGACATACTTGAAGAACTGAATTAACTTCCACACCACAAATTAATTCAAGATGCATACAATTTGGCCAGTGATGCCAATTTTGCCTTGCTATGTTTGTTTGTCTCTATGACAAAACTGATTAATAGTTTTTTATTTTAGTTCCTATTCTATTTAATTCTCTTCCAAGTTTCTATGTGTTTTATTTTTATTAAGTGTTACAGCTTTATAATTTAATTTCAATTTTAAAAATAATCTAAAGCATAGCTTTTTGGCTTATTACATATGGTTCTTAACAATGTAAGTATAATATAGGCAAATTGTGCTCTTAGTCAAAGTCAATAAAATATTTCAAACCAAGTGTTTCCTATTAGCTTAACCGACTGCACACTCAGTTTAATATTGCAAGTGATGATGAGAAATGCAGGGATTTATATAACATATGCAGTACTTACTTTTCCAACAAATCTTTCCATTTCTCTCCCGATACATAGTTCAGGATATGTGGATCCTTTAAATGAGAATTAAGAGGAGTAAGTGCTATATTCTGGAAACACTTTAGTATTATTAAAAATAATTGCCCACATTGCTGGGAGAAGGAAGGGTGGGAGGAGATAAAGGAAGGTGTAGGAGGTAAAATAAATAAGAAAAACTTTTGCTTAAAATATATAAATAGCATGACTCTTTTTGCTTTATTCAAATATCAGCAGTGATTTTTCAAGAGAAAAAAACCCTTTTGCATAACAAAAAATATTAAGCAGGTTATCATGGGTTACTAACAGAAATTGTGATTATTAGCACGAACAACATCCATGTAGGAAATGTATGCACATTTCATTTTGTTGAGCTGTGTCATTTAAAAGTCTTGATCTCATTTCCTGTTTGAGTGCCTCCCTCTTAAATGTTCACCCAGGGCAGGCAGCCACGTAACAAGAAGAAACCAGAAAGTAGGTAGAATCATTGGGAAGAGGCGCTCTGTGATTATCATGTAATTATCAATCTTAGGAATACGTGTTCTAAATTAGAGGAACAGCAAGCTACAAAGAAAAAGTAGTTTAAAGAATCTGAACTGCCCTAACTGGTTTGGCTCAGTGGATAGAACATTTCTAGGTTTACTTCTCTCTTATTTTAATTTAGACTAATAATAAAAAATTAAGTTATGATATTGTAGTAAACACCAAAGAAACGGTCAGGGGGAACAACAGAGGAGTCAGCTAGATCCCCATCTGGTGTGAAACATTTTATGATAAACCAGAAAAAAAATATTAATAAGCACGCAGATTACTGGAAGTGGACTGCACTTCAGGTTTTGGCTTTTCCTCTTGGCGTGTTTAATATACACAATGTGTGCTTGCTGCAGTACTGTCTAAGCAGGACCCCTGGGAAGGGGACACGGGCCAAACACAGACCAGACACCCCATGTCCATAGCCATCTGACAACTTGTTCTGTTTTCTTTTGTCATCTTTTCCCAACGGAGACCGTTGTCCGTAATCGCTACGAGAAGAACTCATGTTTCATGGCTACTGACCTTTCTCTCTTAGATGGCTCTGGAACAACTTGAAACCTGGAAGTCTAAGAAGAGGTTTCTGAGGGACGAACAGCATGCTACGGAATTTCACTTCGTGGTCCTTTTGAAAACAACAATAAAAACAGCTGGTAATCACAAAAACACTTGGGGAGAAAAACTCCTTTTTAGAAAATGAGATCGCTAGACTGTGTTTTCTAATCTTTCCTAACACACCAGCCTCGAAAGCAACAATTTCCAAGGTAGAATATTTTGTTCGTTTTACTGAAAGGCAAAACAAGAAACGCTTAACATTTTCACCCTAACTGAACAACATCATAATTCCAAGGTAGCCGTTTTGATTATTTAGAAAACAGTGCAATCCTATCTGCTAGACAGAGTTTCCGACATGGAACCCAGAAGAGAGTACTTGTTTATCCTTGTAACTTGGCAACAAGAGAAAAAAAAATGAGCTGAGAAATAGTATATCTGATAAAGTGTTCATTTGGTGACAGTTTTGTTTTTTGTGTATATATATATATTTTTTTACTTAGGAAAAGAGAGAGCAGAAAACCTAATCTGGAGAAGAACAGGTTGGCTCGATGGCTCTGAAGCTGGAACTGGCGTCGGGAGAGGCCCGGAGCAGCCTCATGGAAATGCCGCTTGTTTTCCAACATTTAAAATTGCTTTACGTCTGTGTTCCCTGACACTATTTATATTACAGCTTCATCAAAGTCAATAATCCTGAGCTTGAACAGTGTCCATTCCTTTTTATTCTTACTTTTTTATTTTATTTTCCATTTTCCTCCCTAAATGCTTTAAGGAACTTTTTGTCATAGTTTGCTATAGAAGTGAGAGGGGGGAAAAATGCAGATTTCCCCTTTTCTCTTTTTTGTTGTTGATAATGGGTACTGAATACTACTTTTCTTTTGTCTGTGAACAGATAAAACAAACTTACTCAGAGTAGAAACTGTCATATAGAAAGAGTCTAAAAGCTTAATTTGTGCTTTAGAGAAGAAAATCCCAAACACTGAAATTTGAAGCATTGCTAATATGACAAAGAAGCAGAAAACCCCTTCATTCCACACATCAGAAATACTGTGAACAGGAGGAGAAGTCGGCACCTGCTTGAGGTTAGAAAGATGAAAATGATGGCAGTTTATTTTTGGTGATTTTCCTGCATATTTATTTTAAAAAACTGGTGGAAAAACCGAACAGAAAAATTGAAATAGAAATTACAAGGAAAGAGAAGCTGAAACTGTCACTGGACTTAAACTTGTAACTCAGCAACAAGAAAAAAAAAATGAGCTTAAGTTTTGTGAGTTCTAGCTCACAAAAATGAGCTCCAGCTTAAGTTTTGTGCTCTTTCCCCAAGTAAAACAAAACAAAACAACAAAAAAACAACAAAAGTAACTGTCACCAAATGAACACTTTATCAGATATACTATTTCTCAGCTCATTTTTTTCCATTGAATTTAAAAAATTCAGCATCCTGGTATTATATTTTGGAAAAACCTTTTAACTAGAGTGTTAACCCTCGCACTTCTTTCCTAATGGACGCAAGCACTTGCGCCCATTGCTCGCCAGCTCACATTGCGTCTCTGTGTATATGAACACACTACAGTGTTCTCCTCTGAGGCAGACACTGGAGCAAGCTACCAATGCATTTGTGTAGGAACTTTTGGCGAGTACATTGTTTAGATATATTTTGTTCTTCTCATTAATCATTCAATCAGGGCTCTAAAATATTTTGCAAATCTATAAACAGGAAATCCTGTGTGCAATGCTTTCTCCTCGTTTGTGTCTTCTTATAATATTATACTTAAAAAGTTATCCCTTGTAGTTAGGCAGCTAAACAAGCATCAGATTTCAGAGTTAAAATAAATAAATAGCTGGGATACAGGATTAACTCATTAGGCTGAAATACTAAGGAAACCAGGCCAACACGGGTTCATTGTCTGTCCCACGGTCTTTCGTAATTTCTAATCTTTTGGCATCACACAGAGACAAACATGCAGGTAAAAGACCTACTGGAGAAAGTAAAAGGAAGCCCTTTCTCTGCCTGTGCCTGTGTCATGTAGAGGCCACACCGTTATCTGCACCACCCCATCCTCAGTGGATGTGCACATTGTCTCAATGTGCCCAGGCAAGCTTGGGACATTGGATTTGGTCCCAGTCAAGCTCCCCATGGACTCCTGACAGCCCAGCAGTGAAAGGGTGGAAACTGTCAATCAAACAGATAACTCACTTCATACAGATACACAGAAGCTGTTCTTGTACCTACGTTGATTAGAGCTACACCCTATAATTTCTGCATCCTCACCGCATGCCCACATACAGGGGTCATTATCCTATATAATAAAAGGCTAATTAATATGCAAATTGACCAAGTAGCAGAACATGTCGCTGTGACGCTCACTAACCACCAGGGGGGGAGAAGCTCAACACTGGAGCTGCCCCTTGGTGGTCAGTGTGCTCCCATAAGGGGCGCGCTGCTCACCAGAAGCAGGGCTTACAGCTGGCGAGCACAGCAGCCGAGCCAGGAGCCTCTTCAGCCCTTGTGGCAGCGCTAAAGATATCCAACTGCCTGCTTGCGAGTGGGTCTAAGCCATCAGCCGGTCATCCCCCGAGGGCTCCCCAGACTGTGAGAGGGCACAGGCCGGCTAAGGGACCCCTCTGGGGCATGAATTTTGTGCACTGGGCCTCTAGTATCTAAATAAACCTGACTAACCTAGGAAAAGTTGTGTTTGTTAATTCAGCCACCATCTCAGAGATTAAGTTACCCACTGGGTCCTTGAGAGGGAAAGATGCTCTTGAGATTTTTTAATTGCTTATTCTTAGTAATTGTAAGTGCTGCCTCAAAGCCTATGATGGCTTTCTAATCGATAACCCATTGCCAGGAAAGAGTGAATGTCGACAGCACTAGAAATCTCAGGACACAAGGAACACAGCTCTTCACACAATGCCTGGTCTAAAGCGGAAATGCCACGGAGAGCTGTTATCTGTGTCCCTCATTACTAACATGGTGAACGTCTAGTATAACATCCAGTATGTATGTGTTTGGCAGTCATACTATTTTACATGTGCTGGTACAGAGGAGTATAGTGTACTTTTGTAAAAATGTAGTAAAGGAATATAAGGATGGCATTATAATGTAGAGACTGTGAGCAGTGAAGGGCTGTGTTCTTGGCTTTGCCTTTTGTCATTGCTTTCATTCTGGACAGCTCTGACATTTGGAGGAATGCATTGTCGTGACGGCTATCATAAGGCTCATTATATAAATTTGCTACGCTGCTTGCTATAGACTGTCTCTCCCCAAATTCACATGCTGAAATCCTAACCTCCAATGTGATGGTATTAGGAAGTCAGGCCTTTAGGAGAGGATGAGGTCACGAGGGTGAAGCCCTCACAAATGGCATTTGTGCCTTTGAACAAGAGACCAGGGAGACGTACCTTGTCCCTCCTGTCAAGTGAAGACCCAGGGAGAAGACAGCAGGGTAGGTAGGAAGCTCTCACGGGATATCGGATCTGCCGGCCTTGGTCTTGGCCTTCCCAGCCTCAAGACCTGTGAGAAATAAGTTTCTGTTGTTTACATGCCACCCAGTCTATTACGTTATAGCAGCCTGAACTAAGACATGCTGGTATCGTTTCACTGAGATGAAAAAGATACAAGATTATCCTGGCCAAGAGAACAGAGGAGTGCAGGCTGCAGTTCTGATGCTGACCCGGCAGTGAGATGGAAGCAGGGCCCACCTACAGACACAGCCAGGAGCCAGGTGCCGGCTGCAGCTGGAGGACAGGAAGTCCTGGCACTCAGTGTCAGGGAGTGCCCCAGGGAGCGAGGTGGACATTCGCCTGCAGTCAGAGCCGTATGGACTGGCCAACCGAAGAGTACCAACGTGAACCCCAAATACCTTGGTAACCGCAGGAAGGGGAGCTGTAGGCTCTGTCGATTAAAAAAACACACAAAAAACACACCACATAGTTTCTGACAAAACTTCTGTTATAAGAGTTATTTGTTTAATGTTTTATACCCCTTTGCAGTTTATAGCTACTTTTTTTGTGGTAAATTATAAAAGCGGTACTTTATGATAAAACTATAAATGATATGAACATGCTGATATAGAAAATAAGAAGCCCAGTTTCACTGTCCAGATATTGACTGACTGCGGCTTAGCCCCCGAGTGAGTATTCTCTACATGACAGGGAGGCATCGTGACTAGCAGTTGAGAAGGCAGATTTCAGAGTCAGATCTCAGCGGTCACTAGTTGTGTGACTGGGGGATGTAAAACTGATCTCCAGGCCTTAGAATCCTATGTGTACAGCGGGGCTGATGACCTACCTCATATTATTCATATTGGATAATAATAACAGCACAGAGAGAACACTTAGCACATTGTCGATTATTATCAATTACAATATGGATAAGAAGATATTGACATATATGAACCTGAGGTAACGTGTCTAATGTGTAGCTTTGTCTTTACACAGTTAGAAGCACAGTTCACATAGTTGGGTGATATGATTTACGGGCTGAATCTTTGAAAAAAACCAACTATCTACATGTAATTTAATTAACCTATAATTAAGATAATTCATTCACACTTTAATATCTCCTTTTCATTATCTACATTTACTCTAACTGCCTTTTCCCTATACTTTTCACTGAGCTATGAAATATTTGTAAACTTTTCACTATGGACATAGTCTTTGTCTTAGAGTACAACCCTTCCCCAATCTGCTACCTGAACTTGCATCCTGATTGTCTCCTTCCAGGATGAGTTTTTCACATCTTCTGCATGGGATATACTGTCCTTTTCTTTTTAAAAGTTTTTCTTAAGCTTCTTCTCTTTCCCCAAAGCTGTTCTTCTGAATAACAGAATTAGCCGCAAATTGGTGGGGACATTTTCCCTTACTTCTTGCTCTATTTAGCAGAGTATAATTTGAATTTTTCCTTCCGGATGTGACTTTCAAGGCTGGGGACTGGCTGTCTGTGTTCCTGGATTTGCCTGTTGGTTGTGGGCAAAACAGCCGTTTTTCTTCTCTGTGTCATTGGGCTGTGGGCACCGTCAAGGCACCAGCTCCATGGGGTCAACGTGGGCGCACTGGTCTGCCCCCTGCAGGAGACCCTGTGGGAACACACCTTCGTTAGTGAGATTATCAGTCCTAACTGACTTTGCCCCCTCACTTCCACGATCTCCTTCCTTCTCCTAGACATTGACGGAGGGAGGAAAGTGAAATTTTTGCTTAGGTCCCAAACTAACCAGGGTAAGGAAGAGAGTTCCCTATTGGATTTCTTACCATCTCCAACCCCCCCCCCCCCCCCCATTCCACCAAACCACAAGGCAGTTTCAAAACCTTGCCTATCCTTTAATAATATTTACCTCAGTCTTCGCTGCTATTTCACTCTCATTGTTTTTGGCAAGACATGGAAATTTATTTTGGTCCAAACAATACAAGCTTAAATTTAATGAGTAAAATATTAGTTAAGCTGAAGGAAAATAAAATATTTGGCTTGCTTATCAATTAGGTAATTTGATTACAAAAGTCTTAAAAATCAACAGATGAATTCAGCACTTTTTATTCCAAAATGAAATAGATCAGATGTTAGAATACTGTTATCTTATTTTATTGAATTTTATTTAAAATCAACTTACTCCACTATTATCAATAATAATAATAATAATAATAATAATGACAAACATATATATAGAACTATGTTCCAAGAATTTCTAAGGACTTACATGTACTAACTCACTGGAAGCCTGACACACAATGGCTATGCTATACATAAAGCAGACATGGCTCACGAATCTCCATTAGAGCTTTCTTTTTGCCAATAAAAGAATGGGAAGATGCTCAGTTATATCACAGTAACTATCAGATAAAAATAAGCCAATTTCTCAGGAGGAGCCCAGAAAAATGTTTCTGTGAGCCAAGAGAAAATTCTTCTATGGTTCTCCAAGAAAAGAAAAAAAGAAAGAGAAATGTGTATAGCAGTTATCCATGTTAACCTTAATCGTTCAGTTCATAAACTATTTCCTTATAACTTTCTTCAATGTAGGCAGGCAGTTTAACACCCAAGCTTAGTTACATAAAAGCAATTTTACAAGAGGTCAACATGTTAGAGACTTTTCTGCAACCTGACTTGATCCAGGTATGAAATTTAGATCATTTTGAGGAGGATAAACCCACTAGGAAATCCTCTACAAATACGGTCTTCTAAACTGAGATTTTATAACCTTGAGGCAGCACAGAATTCAAAGATATACTCTTCTAGATAATGAACAGACAGACATCCCATGTTATTATTTGTGGATAGAATCACAAACTTCAACAATCAGCCAGCCAAAGAATTTATGTCCTGTTGAGAAAGTATGAGAAGCCTCACCCAGACATATGCCTGTTCATGGTGGTGGGATTAGGGAGTGATTGTTTAAACACTTTGCGGTAGACTGTATTATTGGTGCAATTCTTTTTCTTTTTTATAACTTGGAGGTTGACCTATGACTCAGCAGTTTCTCCTAGTGAAGATGAACCTTGCTATTCCATTGTCTTGGGCAGAAGTGACAGTTTGTAGGTTCTGACTCCAGATCTTAAGAAACTTGTATATTTTTGCATACTCTCTTGTACCTATGCCTTCACCGTGAGAACTCACCTAGTGTAGCTACTGCCCCTTTAATGTAGGTCTCAGAATAAACATGCACTGAACAGAGCTCTCCTGACCTGTCTATAGACCTGCAGCATGAGGCAGAACTGCCCAGCCACTTCACAGATCCATAAGCAAAAACAGGCTTTTGTTCAATGCCACTGGGATTTTTGTGGTTAGTTGTTACACAGCAATAACATCTGAACAACACCTAAACAAACACAAAGTGGAGGTCCCAAATTTTTACCCCATAGACTATGGCGATGCTAATTTTACTTGGAAAGTTTTTAAAGTAAGTTTATCAAGCACCTACTTTGACCATAAAAAATATATTTAAAAAGAGAATGTCTCTTTATCTTTAAACCATGTAAATTCTTGAAGCCTTGAATAAAATAATAGTTGCAACTATCTGTCTTTTTGGGGCAAAGGGAATCCAGGCATCCTACGAAGCATATTAATTATCTCATTTCACTTTCTCCATTTATGCAAGCAAGGAGTTAAAAATACAAACTCCTGTCAGTGAATGTTAGCCAACCAGTGTTACTTAAGAGTTAATTCGCAAATTCCCTTCAAGTAACAAAATCCTTGACTGTTTTTTTTTTTTTTTCCTTCTATTATTAACTAGAGAGGCTTGGAATGAAATTGACATATCTCTGAGGTTTGGAAACCACACTTGTCAGGTCACTTTGCTGATAGAAATAAGACTTGGTACCTCTACTTCCTCTTGCAAATATTTCCTGGACTATGACAACTTTTACTAATAGTAGTTTCCTTCATTTCTTATCTTTGAAACCTATTAGTGTTAGAGAGCTTTGATCACAGTGACTAGAACAGAAGATGTTAAGTCAACTGGCATTCTTATCTGAACAAAGGGTGAAGTCATGGCTTGTTTGGGTTGCAATGAACCTATCTATTCAGTGGAAGGTACTGAGTCTTTTGCATTGTTGTAGATTGCAGAACATGGGCACACACTTTTTGCAATGCCTAATCAGAGCAATCTACCCCTACCCCTTGAAACTTGGCTGTTCTTATTTGCTTTGACCAAAAGAATGTGGCAGAAGTGAAGTTCTGTGACTTCCTCGCCAGACCTTCAGCTCCTACCTTGCTTCTCAGGAAAGGCTGCCCTGAGACAGATGTGTGGGCAGTCAGTCCAGCTTCCTGGGGACAAGGCTGCTGGAGAACCAAGTGTCCGGTCCTACTGACAGCCAGTGCCTGAGGCCACCTTGTCCTTTCCAGTCCAGCGCACCTGCAGCCCAATGCCCAGGCAAAACCAGCAGAGGAGTGCCCAGCCAACGCGCAGGCTGGAAACAGTAATATCTAGTAAATGGTGGTTGGTTTGAGCCACCAGGTTTGAGGGTGGTTTAATACACAGCAATGTACAACTCCTAAATTTTCTTCTTATTCCTGGGAGCATAGTAGAAACTAATAGATAACCTGAGACAAGGTAGTGAGCTAAGGAGAACGGGCAGTAATTTCTGTGAAGACGGATCACACAACTTTACTTCACAGACAAGAAAGAGAATAAAGGAAGTGTCATTGCCAATTAGGAGAGATGTGTGACTGCAGATCAGGAAGGTTGCCAGCGAAGTGCTCTATCCTTGGTGCCCTGGTGACTGTGCAGGTATCCCAGCACTCCGGGTGAGGACTGCAGACGGTCCTGAGTCAGGCGGGTCCTCCTCTGGTCTTCCTGGAACAGGAGAGCATGGAGGCCGGTGAGGAGTGAGGCCAGAACATTCTCATCACTTCCCTGTCTTCAGGGAGACAGGCCTGAGCCAGTTTCTGGTTGCCTCCCACGTTCGATGAGGTCTGAGGCTTTCTGCCTTGACTCCTGCGACAGAATTGTAGGCTATAAATCCATTTCATTGCGATCTAGAATTCCCTGCTTGGCAACGCATAAACATGAAATTTATTAAAGAAATACATAAAAGTTAAGTACTGGATCTGGAATAAAAAAGCCTAGGTCTCATCCCACTCTGCCATAGAGAAATCTCTGTGCCTCAGTTATGACGTCAGTAAAATGGGAACAATTAACCCAGAGCTCAATACTTAGCAGCTGTTATTATCCTACAAAAGAACGTGGAGTGTGAGAATGTGAAGACGTGGACCTTTTCCTGAAGTGGTTTGATTTGGAAAATTCAGTAAGAAAGGAGGAAAAAATGCACTAAAAAACAGAGAAAAATGTTTTGCTCTGAGGAGGTTCTTAAAGATGTGCTAATAGGATAATGTACGAAATGGTGCTGAACTAGTTATCTTGAACATCTGGTACTGAAAATAAGCTAAATGATTTACTAAGAAGTTTTAAAGAAATTAAATAGGATTAAAAAAAAAATGTGTGCCTAGGAGTTAAAAATATTGCCTAAAAAAAAAAAAGATGCAAATTCAGTACAATAAAACAATAAAGAACTGTGGGACAAAAATGGTTTTATCAATAATTAGCTATCTAGATTTCTCTGGGCCTTAGTTTCCTCATCTATAAAATTAGGAGACTGAAACAGAGAAACAAACAAAACAAAAATTCCTTCTACTTATTAAAAACAAATCAAAATTTAAATGATGTTGGTTTTCTTTATAAAATAAACAAACCTTAGATGTAAGAATACAAAGCCAAGTCCACAAGTGGGTAATGGAATGAGGAGGAGTTCTGGAAAGGCACGAACAGATTTCAAGGGAATAGATTGCATGCACAGAGCTTATGAAATCAGGGGCAATGCTCAGCTGACTCAGTTCTAAAGACGTAACCCTGGAACCAGAGGGGCCAGCGCTGACCCGTACTGTTGCAGCACACAAACACGATGACAAAAGGATGCAGAGATTTTCCAGAACCTCACAACATTGTAGTCATTTCTGGAAACCAAAAGTCTTAAAAGTATGACTAGAGCTACAGAAATAAAGAAGAGCAATAAAAGGATGTAACCTTGTAGCCTCTGAAGAAAGAAAGTGAGCACCAACTAAATTCACAGACCGGGAAAGGCAATAAACAAGCAAAAGAGAAAGGGGAGTCTGGGATGGTCTGTACAGGAACAGCAATTAAGGAAAAGTTACTGACATCAATATACAAGAAAGGAAATTAAACTGAGCTTAGGAAATTCAGCTTGAGGACTGGTGAAACTGATTTCAAGAAGGTTTGTTAAAGCCAAAACCAGTTTGGCTCAGTGGATAGAGCCTCGGAGCGTAGGCCTGAGGAACAAAAGGTCCTGGGTTTGATTCCGGTCAAGGGCATCATGTACCTTGGTTGTGGGCACATTCCCAGTGGGGGCTGTGCAAGAGGCAGCTGACTGATGTTTCTAACTCTCTATCCTTCTTCTTTCCTCTCTGTAAAAAATCAATATATTTTTAAAAAAGGTTTGCTATAACTAAAAATATATGAATTAGCTAATGCTCTTTGGCAAGTATCCTACTATGAGAACTTAGAGTTCTGTTTTTCTTTAATTTTGTCTACCTTTTACTTCCCAGAATGAAAAGGAATTATAAACTAAACACAGTCTCAAAGAAGTGGATCAAGTCTCAAAATATTATCTGGCCAATTACGGTAAGATGGCATCTCAAGACAGAACGGATTTTGCAGCGAGGCTCGTTTTCAGAGTGCCGGGGACAGGGTTTCTATAGCATCTTTGGTAAACAATTCCAATACTAAATGGCCTGTACTGTCAGAGATTTCCTTGATGTCTCCTCAGATACACTTTCATTATAGGGTACGACAGATTCTTCCCTGTGCTCTCAATGCAGGGGCCTGAACCTCTGGTCATCTCTTGATAACTGTTTTCCCAAATCACAAATCAGAAACAGCTCAGCTCACTCCTGTGACCACTGCCCAGTTCATGCAGTAAGAACCCGGCCAAGACCCAGAACCTTCCTTGTTCTTGCCGTCACTGCACACACACACCCCTCCCTCCCGTTCCCAAATATAACCACTAACCCTACTTCTAAATCTGGTTTGTATATGTGTTTCTAAATTTCTTTTCTTTTTTTTTCTTTTTTTTTTTTTTAAAAAAAGGTTAAACCGTTGTTTTCTGTTTTAGCAGCATCTTTACATTGGGATATACCTCACACAACAGAAAATTCCCCACTTTAATGCGTACCTTTCAGTGGTTTTTACTCTAGAATCTCTGTTCTGCAATCATCAGCTTTCTCTCATTCCAGAACATTTCCATTCCCCTCACCAGCCCCCAAACCACCTGTTCCTATTACCAGTAAGTTCCATTAGCATGTCCTCCTTTGTTTCTGCTCGTAAGATCCATGTGCTATGTTCAGTAGCCAATATTTTCTTTAGGGGTCTAAGAAGTATACATTTTTTCTAATTAATTTTGGTTGCACACACAAGACAAGTGGTTTTGATGTTGGATACATACAAATATCAATCGGAGGGAGTTAGAAAACACTGGTGTGGACAGGGGAGGCTGGGCATCAGTAGTGCTGAAAGTTCTCACCACGATTCTACTGTGTAGCCACGGTTAAGAACTACTTACCTAACAGCCGAAACCGGTTTGGCTCAGTGAATAGAGCATCGGCCTGCAGACTGAAAGGTCCCAGGTTCAATTCCAGTCAAGGGAATGTACCTTGGTTGAGGGCACATCCCCAGTAGGGGGTGTGCAAGAGGTAGCTGATAGATGATTCTCTCTCATCGATGTTTCTAACTCTATCCCTCTCTCTTCCTCTCTGTAAAAAAATCAATAAAATATTTAAAAAAAAGAAAAAAGAAAAAAAAGAACTACTTACCTAACTGGAAAACTGACCTGATCAGAAGGAGGTGCTAATTAAAAGACAGATTCTCCTGGGCCCTCAGACACTCTGAACTAGAATCCTGTGAGGGAGGGTCTGGGAATCTGCATTTTGACAAGTGGCTCAGGTACTTCTCATAGAGCAGTTTTAGAAATACTGAGGGAAACTCATGATTATTTATAAGAAAATAAATGACTTCATCAACAGAGGCTTCTACTGCTTTTAAATAAGAAAACACAAATGCTAATTTAAAACATTTTTTAATTTAATGTGTTTTTATTGATTTCTGATAGGGAGAGATAGAAACATCAATGATGAGAAGGAATCATTGATTGGCTGCCTCCTGGGGATCGAGCCCGAAATCCAAGCATGTGCCCTTGACCAGAATTGAACCCAGAAACCATCAGTCCACAGGCTAATGCTCTATCCACTGAACCAAACTAACCAGTGCTAATTTAAAACATTTTAAATACATTAATAAAAACTATTGTAATGGATATTTAATTGGAGTGATGAGGGGGGAGATATATTACATTTGCCTCATTTCTCTCAATTTGATGTTAGTCCAGAGTGGAAACCTTCTGGGAAGTAGCCTTTTCCACCTCCTGCTCTGAGGTTAGCACAGGAAACAGGTCTCCTTTTTTTAGACATTAAACCAGTCTCAATGTTGCCAACAGACTGAGCAATTCCCAATTTGCCTTTCACTCACAGCAGACAGTGTACAAAGCGTCTTCTTCACGTCACCAGTTAAATACACTGGAAAAATTAAAAAATGCAACTGCCAAGAGAAGTGGCAAACAAAATAGAAAAGGGAAAAAATTCAGAAAATGCAACCTCAGAATAGTCTGAAATAGACTTCACTACTATTGCAGTATAACAGGAACAGCTTTGCACATGGAGAAGGACATTTTGTTAGAAGCTGGAGTTGGCGTTGCGCTGTTGGCAAGTATTCCTGTGGGTTGCTCCTGGGGCAGGGATCATGCTTGTTATAGTATTCTGTACGTCCTCAGCTCTTAATAATGGACTGCTCTCTTTACTGAAGGCTATCTTCCATCATTAGTCTATTGTATGACTACACACATGACCTGGTAATTTTTCACCTTATCACTTGGACACCAACAGTAAACTAAGTTCAATTATTTAGTGCATTAGTTCAGTACATTAAATAATGTGATAGTTGACTGAACATACTAATTTTAAAATAAAAATTTAATTTTAGGATAGCTTCGATGTACAGAAAAGTTGTAAAAATGACTCAGAGCATCCCCATATACTGCACCTAGTTTCCATTAGCATCTTCTATTAGTATGGTACAATATAATTAATAAGCCAATATTGATACATAGTAACTCACTAGAGTACATATTTTACTCAGATTTCTTCAGTTTTTCCCTAATGTCTTTTTTCTGTTCCATGATCCTACCACTTTTATTGTAGTCATCACGTCTCCCTATGCTCCTCTTGGCTGTGACTGTTTCTCAGACTTGATTTCTTCATAACCTTGACAGTTTTAAGCAGTGTTGATCAGGTATTTTTTAGAATGCCCCACACTAAAAAACTTTTGAAGATAACCTAATGTATTCCTAGAGTCAGTTAGTGCATTAAAAAATTTTGACTTAAAGCAATTCTAGAAGAAAAAAATAACTTCAGAGGTGGTTATATATCCAACTGTTATAATAAACTCAAATGGACTTGAATAATTGATTTTACTATATCGTAGCTAATAAATATGTAATATGCTAATTGAATGTCACTTCCTCACAAGATGGCAGCACCCATAGCCAATAAGGAGGGAATATGCTAATTGGTTGTCACACCCTCAAAAGATGGCGATGCCCACTCCCCTTAGCCCCGCCAGGGTGGCAGGTGCATGGCACAGCTGGGCCTGCCTCCAGGCAAGTCCGGCCACTCTGCACGCCTGCCTCCAGTCCCCTGGTCCTCTCAGCCCCCCAGCCGCCCAGGGCTGGCCCGAGGCACAGGCAAGCCTCAGCTGGCAGCTGCCCAGAAGAAAAAGATAAAGATAAAAAATATGAACAACGAAGTGGAAACAAATACATCTCTATAAACAACTGAATCTAAAAATCAAACACATAAAAAATCTGATGAACAGAATAAACTGGTGAATGTAATAGAATCAGGGGCATGGAAATGGAACAGACTGACAATTACCATAGTCAGCAGGTGTGGGGAGCTAGAAGAGAGCAATTATAGATGCTAGAAGGGAGCATGTATGCATTACCTATGGACACAGACAATAGGGTGGCAAGAGCCAGGAGCGCGGCGGAAACCAGGTGGAGGGGAGTTATTGGGGGGTGAGGGAAGCGGGACATATGTAATAATTTCAACAATATATTTTTAAAAAGATTATTTCCCAAAGACTTAGCCAATAACACTACAAAAACAAAAAGCCCTCTGACTCCTGTGATTTTATCTGTGTGCGCCCAGGTCCAGCAATGATTTCACTGTCTGTCTGAAGCACCAGCAGCACCAGACCCAGAGCTCGGCGCCACGCCTCGATCTTCGGTGTAACAAGGTCATAAACTCCTGGAATCTGTTCCAGTTTATTTGAAATGCCTGAATTAAAGACTCCACGGTTTAGTTTACTGTATTCATTCAAGATGTAAGATGAAGGTGAGCCTGAGTCTATGGCATTTTGCAGATGATGCTGAATGAAAGTCCTGGCTTCAAATTCTGAGGAGTGATTGGCAGTGTTACAAGCGACCGTTGAAAGGTATTTGTGCCATCCGTCGGCCAAGCATTTAAGCACAGTAGGTCTGTACAGTGCCAGAGGTGAGGCCAGCCCCGAGGAAGTATTATGAAGGCCCCCTGAACGGATTCGGTCTCCTTTCTTCGGAGGTTGCTCCCTGAGAATCTGAAGATGGCTGAGACACAAAAACTCAACTGCACCTCCTCCAAGGAAGACCTTTTGCTCTTTCAGAGCATAATGCAGACGATAGGCACAAGTCCAGAACCTATCTTCTTTGGTTTGCATCTGTGCAGTGACTGGGCCAGTGAGCACTACTGTAACCAAATTAATCCCTTCTGTTTTCAACAAAATCGCCATTCTGCTGATCCCATCTCCAACATCCAAGGGCCTGCTTCTCCAGGAGGTCATGGAGACCCCGCTGCCCACAGAGTCTTCCCTCACTTGTGTGATGTAGGACACCTGCACGGCTCCCGAGGCCTCTGCGAAAGCCTGCATCACTCTGCCACTCACCGACCCAATCGCCAACCGCTTAGCGTGCACGCATTTCCCAATTATGTGTTCGGATACGGCTCCCTGTACCAGGACAAGGTTCACGTTGAACTTGATTAATACCTGTAGTACACTGTTTGCCCACAGTTCTTCCGAGCTGTCTTGATGAAGCTTCCTCATGCTTCCCAACACTGTCTGAACATTGGCAGGCTTGTTAAACCCCAGGTGGCGGTAACGCTCTGTGAGGTCACCCTCAATGAGAACGACCCGGAGAGGCTGATTCTGTAAGTCCTCGAGCACGGCCGCACTGAACATGGATACAACAGTGACATATCCTGAACACACGCAAGAAAAGGTTTCAGGTAAACCTGGTAAACAGCGCGTGAAGACTCTTGAAATGTCGAACGTGAACGGCACCGTCCGGCTGCCCTGGCACACGCGTGTGCTCTGGTGCTGCAGCCGCACCGCTCCTTCCACCAGCCTCATGCTGCCGTGATCTCCGTGGCTCAGGCCCACCGCCAGCTCTCCCAGATCACTACATCTGCAAGGCTGGGGGGCAGCTGCACCATGTTTGCTTGTCCGCTCAGCGCGAGCCTCCCGACTGCAATGCCTACTGTGGGTCACGACGGACTGTCTGCAGCAGCTGTCCGCAAGCAGACTGTTTCTCAGAGTTCGAGGGGTTTGCGACGTGTTTTTATCTGCATCCACCGTAGCCTGAGGTCCAGAAGGTTTAGCGGATTTAACAGGTCTCCCAGAAAGACTGGAAGTGGTCAGTGCCTGAGAGGCAGCATCTTGGAGATCACGCTCTTTCGGTATCGAACCAGTATCTGAAGGAACTTGTAGAAAGGGACACAAACTGGCATTCAACGATTCAAGTTCAGAAAATACCTGTGTGCCGTCGATACGGTCAAATACATCGTGGAGAGGTACGTGCAGGGAAGCGACCTCTTCAATGCACGAGTCCAAGCCTTCTGACATTCCCGACACGATCACAGACACGGGGACGCCCAGGTGAAGACATTCCTCAACGGCACGGCTCCAGGCACCGACGAGAAACAGAAGAGTGCTGGCCCCCGTTCTGTACGCGCTGTGTTGAGCTTGAACTGCCTCGCCGAGAAGCTGCCCCACTGCACTGGACAAATCCAGACTTTCAAGAAGCCTGACTGTTGAACTGACTACCACACTCTCATGACTCTCTTCGTCTATAATAAACTTGGATGATTTCACTGGGCCTAGGAAAGTCCTTCCTGTGTCTGCAAAGGCTGAAAGTTGCTGAAGTCCCAGGTGCCTTTTTTTGTTTATGACCCTGCGAGCCATCTCTACAAGTCATCTGCAAATAAAACAAAAACTTACTGAGTGTAATTCATGGTTATAAATGCTATAAAAGAACACTAAGATATACAGTCCCTGCCTTGAAGGAGTTTCTGGTAGGTACAGTTTCCATTAAATAAGGTCCGTGCAGTGATGTAGTAGTATGATGACATCAGAGACAGAAGGTAGGGGTCAGGAGGAGGACCGCTCCGTCCCACGGGGAAGTGGGTCAGGCAGGCAGCAGGCACTGTTTCCAGAAGAAGGCAATGCCTGAAATGAGTCTTGAAGAATAATGTGAGTCAGCAAGTTGAAGGAGGTGGTAGTAAATGCAAATATATGAGAAAAATGAAGAACAGGTAAGTAAGATAGACAAAATCTCACAAATGGTTAAGTAGCAGGTATGGACTAAAACCCAGGCTTGTCTAATGTCTAAGTCCCATGCTATTAACTACTGTACAATACTGCCCCCTGGCTGCCCCTCCACCCAGGATGACAGTGACCCACCCTGTCTTCTGTAGGATCTCCCACTTCCAAGCCTTCCTCCCTTCTCCCAAGCCTGTCATACTCTTAACATGGATGTGCTCTTTTTTTTTTTCAGTGTCAGAGTCTCTGCTTATGGCTTCCTTTCTATATTATGTTTAAGTCACAAGATATTGCTATATGAGTACAAACATCATAAAGAATTTAGAGCAAAAGGAAAAAATCATGGGCAATTTCAAACTTAGTATTTAATTTATGTGAAAAAAAAAAAAAAGGTTTTTCCATAAGAAGCATGAAATTATTTCAACTAACCTGCAAGCAAAAATTGATATCAAAATACATATTCACGCAATCTGTCTCATCCGACATAACATGTAGAAAGCATTAAATATGGTTAATTTTTAAAAGTTGATGTGAGACAGACAGGCATGGATAGGTTGCCTCATGCGCCGGGACCTGGGTGGACCCTGACGGGAATCAAACCCCAAGCCTTTTCTGACCATTGGGTCACCGGGTCCCATTGGAGTGTGGATCTAGGCGGGATGTGGTTGGACCACCGGCCAACTCTTGGGGTTCAGCCAGAATTTAGAATGACTGGGGTGAGAGTGGGTATAGATGTCAGAGAGCGATCCTGGTGGGGACGAAGCCCTCCCCTGCAAATACTGTAGACCCTGCATCCCAGGCACAGCCTCGGTCCTCCGCAGGGGGCTCCGGGGCTTCCGGGACCCCCGCTGCCCCTGCCCGCCCCCTCAGGCCGCGCCGCCCCACGCCCCTCCCCTCGGGGCCCCCCACGCCCCTCCCCTCAGGACCCCCCCATATCCCTCCCCTCGGGGGCCCCCCACACCTCTCCCCTCGGGGCCTCCCACGCCCCTCACCCTGGGGCCCCCACGCCCCTCACCCTGGGGCCCCCACGCCCCTCACCCTGGGGCCCGCACGCCCCTCACCCTGGAGCCCCCCACGCCCCTCACCCAGGAGCCCCTCACGCCCCTCACCCAGGAGCCCCTCACGCCCCTCCCCTCGGGGCCCCCCACGCCCCTCCCCTCGGGGCCCCCCACGCCCCTCCCCTCGGGGCCCCCCACGCCCCTCCCCTCGGGGCCCCCCACACCCCTCCCCTCGGGGCCCTCCACGCCGGGATCCCTGCGAGCACGGGAGGAGGGAAGTGGCCCGCGACCCCGCCCCAGGCCCCGCGGCGGCTGAGGAGGGTCCGGCGGTGCATCCTCTCCGCCTCCCCACACCCCGCCTGCGGCGAGCCAAAGCGGGACCAAGGCCCCGGCTAGCGGGCCCTCCGTTCTCACCCCTGCCCTGGGCGAAGCGCAGGAAAAGCAAACGCGGGCTCCCCACCACTCCACCGAAGCTACGAACCTCGCTCGGTCCTCCAGCCCCGCGGGGGTGCTGCAGGCCCGCCTTTCACCGGCTCGGGGGGCACGGGGACGCCCAAACGCGCCGGCGAGACCCCGCCCCGCACGCAGTTTGCGCATGTGCGAAAGGGGCCGGCTGGTCGCTAAGAGACCAGCTGGAAAGGCCGCTTCACTCTAGACGAGAAAGGCAAAGTAACGCTATTGGTAGATAGCAGATAGGGGGCTGGCTTCAGGGCCTTCTCTTCTGGCCATTGGGTCACATGGCTGTCAATCATTAGGGAAAGCCTGAGTGGGCGGGGCTGCCGGAGGTTAGCGACCGCGGCCTTAGCAACGGCTTGGGAGCAGAAGAGGCTACCGTTGGACAGCGGGCTGGACGGAGGCGGCCGGGGCTCCCGGCTGGGGGCGCCGGAAGGGGACATGGTGAGTGTGCAGCTGCTACCTCCTGGTGGAGGTGGGGCTGGAGAAGGGGCTGAGGTTCCTCCTGGAGCAAGGGAGGAATTTTGTTTAGCTCATGAAATGTATCATTCTCCTTTTCATGATCCTCGAGTGTCAAACAGAAACCCTTCTCGCTGCTCAATAAGCGCATTGTCCGCGGCTCTAGGGAAGAGGACGGTTCTCCAATTCATTTTCCCTCATCAAAACCATCAAGCGTGAATACCTCCAGTCTGACAGGTTCCCTGTCTAGCCAGAAAGGAGTTAGGCACAAAGAATAAGATGCTAAAAATAGCTGGAGGGCCTGGGCCTCTAGAAAAGTCCTAGAACTCTGAAAAACGAACTGACCTGGGACCAAGGAGCTCTGCCACTGCCTGGAAGCTTGGGATCCAAGGCTGCCAGGCAGGTGACCTGCAGCCCGGGGCCACTGGAGGCGCAGGACACGGAGTCCTGTTTCTACCCGAAGCTGGGAGGAGATGCCGAAATACGGCTGCAGGAGGGGCCCAGCCAACCTCCCTTGCCAATAGAAAATGGCGAATAGCAGGAAGATGACCCCTACACACACACCACACACACACACACACACACACACACACACACACACACACACACACTTTCCCTGAACACTGATAATTGGCCTGACATGTATTCTTCCCCAGATCCCTGCAGTAGTTTTTCACCCGGAAAATGCAGTTTATTCATTTCTCAGCCTGTGCAATATAGGAAAGTAGGCTAGAAGGTGGAAAAGAGTATTATGTTCCAACCAAGCATCCCCTCAAAATAAGTTTTATGGTAAGACATTTAGGCATAACAGAAGTAAAGATGACTTCAACAGTACTTCTCATGTACCTCAGGTAGGGAGGGCTGTTTGCATTCCGACATACCTGCCCCTCCAGCGTGCCTTCCTTTGCCCCTTCTCCTTTTCTAAAGGCAATGATTTGAAGGAAACCCTAATTGGACCTACCTTAAAAAGAACCAGGCTTTCCACCAACATATCAACAACTAAAGCAAAAATGTTAATAAAGGGAAAAGGGGAGAATTGTTGAGGTTCATTATATAGTAGGGAAGAGGATACTTGTTTATGATCATTTAGCTCACCAATTTCATCTACAATATTATTCTGGTTCTGGTAACTTTTCTGGTTGCATACCTTATCTTTCACTCACATGTGTATTTCTTACAGGCATCCAACTGCAGCACAAGTTCAGACCAATGGAAGCAAAAAGCAGCAAAAATTGAACTAAATGAAACTCAGAAACAAGAAATAAAAGAGGCCTTTGATTTATTTGATGTTGATGGGTCTGGAACCATAGGTGTAAAAGAATTGAAGGTTCTAAAATTATTTCTAATTCTAAAACATTAAAAAAAAACATATAATTTATTCATGCCAGTCTTGTAAGTCTTTAACAGTAGCCATCTGAAAGCTCGATATAAAGTTCCTTCAGTGCAGACATCCACCTCACACTGGCAAAGCAATATCTTGTTAAGCTTTTTATTCCTGTTTTATAAAGAACCCATGGGCATGGACAGCAGTGTGGAGATTTCAGGGGAGGGAGGTGGAAGCAGGCATAGAGGGGATAAATGGTGATGGGGAAATATATGCTGATCCGACTCTCTAGGTTTATATCTTGTCCATTGGAGGGGGAGGGGGAGGAGAGAAAGTGAGGGGGGGGATATGGCAATTAAGGTCATTTTAAAGCTAGGAATGAAATCATGGCATATAATTTATTTGCTTCCTATTTCAGATTGCTATGCGGGCTTTGGGATTTGAACCAAAGAAAGAAGAAGTTAAAAAACTGATAGCTGAAATTGACAAAGAACGAACCGGCACCATTAGTTTTGAAGATTTTTTTGCCATGATGAGTATAAAAATGGTATAGTGATTGTGTTTTTCAAAGAAATACAATTAGAGATTTCATAGAAGAATTTAATGATGGTTGGGGTTTAGACAGGAAGGGCAAGATTAAATATGCTTTCAGTTTAGTGACATGAAGACCATCCAGTGGGGAGATTTTTGTTAGGAAGTAGGCTGTATGGGTGGATAGAATGCAGAGCCTGGAATTCCACATTTACTGAGAACCTGTTTTTGGCAGGCACTATTATGGGAATACTTCTTGTTTTCTTGGAGCTCACAGTTTTGTAATGGATCTTAATTACTGGTCACCAAGAAATACATCCTCTTTACCACCCTGTGCCTCTTCCACTTCCTTAGACTCTGAGTGTAAATGCCTTGAGGGCAGATGTGAGTGCACTGGCACAACTTCAGAATGCAGAGCAGTAGAGTCAGAGCTCAGCTACCTGGTACACTGCTGGTCTGCACCTCAAAGTGCAGCTTCATAGGAAAATAAGTGAAAGACTGATAACATTGAGCTGTTTCTGTTTTAAAGAGTGAAAAAGATGAAAAGGAAGAACTGCTGAAGGCTTTCAAATTATTTGATGATGATGCTACTGGAACCATAACATTAAACAATATCAAGAGGGTTGCTGAGGAACTAGGGGAGACTTTAACAGATGATGAACTCCAGGTAAATGTTATTTATTTTTATAATTGGAATGTACATGTATAATTATATACAACCAGTGGCCTGGTGCACGAAATTCCTGCACATTAAAAGGGAATTACTTAGAGGAAATATTTTAATATTGTTAGTTGCCCTTTCTCTATAATAGAAGTGTCAGAGATGAAAGAAAATTAGTAAAGTGTATACGAAAATCTCCCTCCTGTCAGAGTCTGGGGCTCACCTCAGGACCCAGAGTCAAGTCCCCGCCCACCCAGGTGCACTTCGAAATCGCACAAGACCCAGCCCCTGCCAGCCCCACCCTCATCGAGCTGAAGGGCTGGGGTAGGGGTGGGGCGGGCAGCCTCAGATCCTCCGACTCTAGCACAAGTGCACAAGGGCATGACAACCGTTTGCATAATTTGCATATAAACTCTTTATTATATAGGATTGTTTACGAATTGGAATTTAAATGCCTTACCTAATTGTACTCATAAATACATTTAAAGTGAAATTTTGAGTATACATTTGGATATTCATTTGTATCATTCATTTTTAATAGAGTTCACATATCATATTTATGTTTTGTTTTACAGGAAATGCTGGATGAAGCTGATCATGATAGGGATGGAGGAATAAATGAGGACGAATTTTTGAGAATGATGCAAAAGACCAGTATTTATTAATACTGTTCTTGTTCCCTTTAAAAGTTAACTAATTTGTATTTGTTATACAGCTCCATAATACATAAATATTCACTTTCAATTTGCAGTTTACATGCACAAATTGGTCTCTTGATGTCTAAACCATGTGAGAAGTTACATGTTTCTCCAAATATGTTGTTAAATCTACAGCATCAAGAACAAAATGTAATGACTTCCTTGAACCATGAATCCAAGAACAGTATCAATTCCAACTGCTATTTTTAGAACCTAGGGTCAAAAGACATAAACTTTTTTAAGTTTAATGAACTTGGCCACATATGCAAAGGCATTTGTCAATGAAGTCATTACTTTCCCTATTATTTTGTGTGTGTGTCTGTAACCCTTCAAAAACTGTTAAAAATTTTCTTTCTCGGCAGGATAGTATTAAATATAACTGTCTGGTAACCATGTTATTTGCTACTTTTCTTTCTATAAAGAAATTTAAAGTACTTGTATCACTCAGACTTCCCTATTGGTTTGACCCTAAAAGTTAGCATTTATTTAATATCTTAGGACAGGGATTTTAGCTGTTATCTAGTTAGTATATTACAACTTGTACGCTGATAGCATTAGCTCTGACTATATGAGAGACAATGAAAGTTCAGAGAACTTAAATTTAAAAATTGCTCAGTTACCCACAGATACTAAATAAACACGGATTCTAATAACCTGGCTGGTTAGTAGCAGCATCCTCATCTGCTAAGGTTGTCAGGACACGTACAAGAATCAACCAATGAATTCACAAGTAGAATAACAAATCAATGTGTGTGTGTTTCTCCCTTCCTCTCTTTGAAATCAATAAAAATTAAAAAAAATATTTCTACGATGCTGCTTCCCCATGGATAAAAACTTGCAGGATAAGTAACTTTCTAATTTATTTAATTCTGTACCTTGCAATTCAACTGACTTTGTTTTCTATGAAAGAGCCAATCTGTTGGGAGAGGCAGTCCCCAGCACAAAGTCTTTTGCTCCCCACTGGGCCGCATGACAATGGGCCTTGGGTCTGGAACACCTCCCATGGAGAGTCCTCACAGCTGTGCTGGACTTTGGCCTTGTCTGAGAACCTCTCTCCCTGGTTTAGACTCAATGTGCACTTCCTTGTTCTGCTTAACCCCGTGTCATGTGGCATCTGGCAGGCCCCCTGCTGTAACTGTCCCCTTCAGAAAGAGGTCTACAGAACTGGAGGGGTGCGGTGTGTGCAGACCATTTGCCCTGTGTGGGTTCTGGGAGGGACAGTGGCTCAGGAAACCCACGTTCACTGCTGAAACTGATCTCCCACTGTCCCTTCTCTGTACGACTAAATCTCTGCTTTCTCCTGCCCTTGGCTGCATTTGTTTTTCTTGGCAACTCTGACACCAAGCTGCTGGGCAGAAGTGCTGAGACTTCTGATCCTCATCCTGATCCTAATCCTGATTATAGGTGATGGATGCCACTTGTAGGACACACACTCTTCCTAAGCCCAACTAATGGTCTTTGGAGCAAGAAAGGCTTGTAGAAAATGCAATTTTAATTGCCTCACCTGAAAATATAAACAAACAAACAAACAAACAAAAAAACCCACCACATGGCAGAGGCCATGAACAAACACTGTTTCTAAGAAGGCATGGAAATGGCCAATAGATAAACGAAAGGATGCTCAACATGGGGAAATGCAAGTCAGAATCCCAAAGGAGATACGATCTCATAACTGTTGAAGACAAAAATAAGTGCTGGAGGGGATGCGGAGAGAGGGCAGCCTCACTCCAAGGACGGAATGTAATATTTCCTAATCTGACGGAAAGCCCAGGGTATATGTCCTGACCCCTCCCGCGGCCCCCCTCACCCGGCCCTATCCTCCTGACTTGAACGCACATTTCAGTCTTTGCGGCACTGTGCAGCTACATAGTTAAGCCTTTGCCCAGCTCTCTGTTCTCTCAGATGCTGTTTTCTGCCAGGTCTTTCCGAGTCTCATCCTGAACACTGGAACTCAGGAGTTGGCGTGATGGGGGAGCAAGGGGCTTGGACCATACTTTTCACTTCACTCAAATCCCTGCTCTGTATAACATTTCCTCCCAAGTTCTAGCTGCCCTCCAATTCCAACCTGTTTCTAGTGAATAGATGTATTTGGTTTGGATAAAAGATATTGGATTCAAATCTTTCTATCTCATTTTTATTCACAGATCACTATGACAGTTACTGAGTGCTTGTTGTGTGTTAGGCACTGCTCTCCCTCCTTCACACGGATAAGTTCAATGCCTACTGGGTACTGTTATCAGCATTCTGACTTTACAGATGAGGACAGAGGGTTTAATGACCAATTCATCATCACATGGACAGCCAATAGCTCACCTGGACACTGGGAGGCCTGCTGGTTCTCCTCAATCCCTGGGCTCTCCACCCCTGCTCGGCCCTCATCACTCCTATCCAGGTGTTATCTTCACACAGAAGAGGCAACAGCCCATATTATGGGCAGAGAAGCAAGAAAGTGAATCTTTCTTGATCAGAAAAGTGAGTGAAGTCTGATGTAAGGAAAGTGATAAATCTGGAGAGGTGAAATCAAAGAAAAAGATAGTTTTAAAAAATTAACAGTCTTTGGAATTAGTCTTTGTAAATTCAATAGCAGAGAGTCATGCTGTGGTCAACATTAGACAGTCAAGATAAGCAAATAACTTGTAAGCTCAGAGATTATAGTGATAAAAGTTATTACTTGTTATAACTTTATAATGGGCATTGCCTCCCAAAATCATTGTCCCTTGCTTTCTTGGCGATGGCTCATTTTAACCAGAAAATTTTAAGTATAAGTTTGAATAGTTGGTAAATGAATGTAATAGGGAAGTACAAGTCTAACATTCAGAATGTTACCCACTGAAATCCGTGGGTTGATCACTAGATGTAACATGGAGGTCACACCACTAGAGGGCGTTGAGGGCTTGCTTCAATTTGGTGAGTGAAGGTATGCTCTGATTTATGCTTATTTAATCGACGTAAATTAGTTGAAGGATTTTTAGAAAGATCAAAGTTAAAGATGTCATTTGTCAAGCATAACTTGAAAAAATTACAGAAATTGTATTCTTATATCCCCTTCCTTGGTAGCTAATTACAAGGAATTAATTAATGAAAAATCAAAAATTTTACTTAAATTAAACTGGCACTATTAAAAGTATAAGCCATGGAATTATCAGGGAGGAAATACATTATTTAAAGATCCTGGAGAAGGTGAATATGTATGCTTTTTATTTAGCATACCTATGTATGGTTTAAATTTTTATAAACACAAATTTTATAATTTAAATAAAAGAAGTAAAAAATCCAAATGCTTTTAAAAACTAAGTTAAGGCCGAGACCGGTTTGGCTCAATGGATAGAGTGGGCTTGGGGACTGAAGGGACTCGGGTTCGATTCCAGTCAAGGGCATGTACCTTGGTTGCGGGCATATCCCCAGTGGGGGGTGTGCAAGAGGCAGCTGATCGATGACTCTCTCTCATCGATGTTTCTAACTCTCTATCTCTCTCCCTTCCTCTCTGTACAAAATATATATATATATATATATATATATATATATATATATATATATATATATTTAAAAACTAGGTTAAGAAGCTATTATGAAAATAAATTAGTAATATAAGTCCAAGTTTATTTTATATAATCTGCTTTTTATATTTATAAATATAGTGCCCAAATGATACTACTAAGCATTCTACAATACTACTTCAAAAATGAAGGAAGGGTGTTGGTTACACTAAATACTTGACATCTTCTGAATAGAAAGTCACATTTGGGTTCTGAAGTCTTCAAAAATGAAAACTTATTTAATTTGTTCAAGCTCCAATATACAAGTTTCGTTGAGAATGGAATAGTTGTGTGTGGGTTTTCCCTCCACTTAACAAATGAGTTAATAACACAAATCTATAGACTCAGTTTGGGGGAAAGTAACATATCCAAAAGAATTAACTATATGCAAAAAAACGAATACCCATGATCAAAATAAATTATGTTCTAGTATAAGGTCCTTTGAATGCGTGTTAAGCTAGTGAAAACATACATAGGTATATTGTATTACATTATTTCTTTCTGTATTTTTATTAGATATATGTAAGTACCTTTTACTTCTCTCGGAAATATATTGTGGCTAAATCAAATATCAAACCATATAAGAATTATGAAATTTAAAAAGCCTATAAATGTGAGTAGCAATCCCCATACGATCCCTTGGTGAACACCCTGAGCTGCTGTGTCCTGAGGAGTGTTCAGTTCAATGGTGAGATGCAAGAAGCGCCATGGCCTTTGTGTTCTCACTCTAATTCCCTCTCCCTGCCCAAAGGCCTAGTCACAGCAGCCCTTCCACCAACAGGCATGGAACATCAGAGAGGCATCTGGCCAGAGGACACAGGGCACACAAACGTGTTGTCCAGCATGTGGAAAGCAGAGATTGTTTCAGGAATACTCTTATGAAGACAGTATTTTAAATGAATTTGAACACTCAGACAAGCAGGAGGCTGAGGCTTTTTTTTTTTTTTTCTTTGCTTTTTTTTTAAGAGAGAAGGACACTGATGATGAGAGCCACAGATGAGAATACTCTGGGATGCGCTATAGAGGATCAGCAAAACCCAGAAAGGGTACGAATAGAGAGCATTTTCTTACCGATGGCTAGCTGAGCATGTAATGTGTACATGTCCCCCAACTGCGTGTTTTTGGTAAATATGTAGCATGGAATAACATATAAGTTGTATTTTATTGTTATTCCTCAAAATAAGTTCAGTCCTCCTCCTTAAGTCCTGTTATTTACCTACTTCTTCATGAAATGTAGGTTAAAAAATTTCGTCAGGTGTTTGAAGGGGGCTGACACTACCTAATTAATGCTGCAAAATTCTTTACCCCAACTATGTGACACAGGATAAAGAGCATGTGCAAAACATGCTTATGTTTGTCTGGATTAGTTAGTCATTGTAGCAATAAAAGTTAATCATAGTGTCTTTGAATATTTCCTACCCATCATTTCCATTATTCATGAAATTCTCATGCCATCCATTTTTCAAACATGCAACTACTTGGATTAGTTTGGAAATTAAGCATAAATAACTACTAATTCTCCTGCGGTACATCTATGTTGGACAGTATTAAAAATCTATCTTACAAGGAATAGTAATGTCCTAATTAAAACCTTTCAGCCAAAATTCATTTAATCAGTAAAACCTCCATTTTAAATCTTCTGCCAACTTCTCAATTGTTTCAGAAAATTTCTAGATCAGTAGTCTTATTTTCTTACATCACACCCCCCCCCCCAAAAAAAAAAAAGTTGAAAATCCGAGCTCTCCCCAGTAGGGCTCATGCCTGTGAGGAAGTAAAATAGGTAACCCATCAGCTGAGGAAATGATTTGCGGGACAGGGGAGGTCTGATGGGTTCAAAGTGCTCTTCGACAGTTGGACATGATTTGGATTATTTCAGGCTAGATGATAAAGTTGCACATTCAGAATATGATAAGGAAACTAGTTTCTAATCCTAAGGTCACTGTTTAACTGGATTGGACACTTTGGCCATGTCACCTAAACTTCTCTGGGCTTCCTCTCACGGTGTATACGAAAAGGACCTGTCTCCTATTCAAAAGGCTCTGTCAGAAAAGCACTGTTGTACTGCTGAAAACCCAGGTGACACGAAAAAACAACTATTTATGAAATATGTGGAA